GCCCAGCTAATTTTTTGATTTATTGTAGAGATGAGGTCTCGCCTGCCCAGGCGGGTCTCGAACCCGCGGGCTCAGGCAATCCACTCACCTCAGCCTCCCAAAGGCGCGGGATTACAGGCTGAGCCACCGAGCCTGGCTGAAACTGGTTTATTTTAATGTCATATAGTCTATCGTATTTAAAGCTTTTTGACCAGGCATGGTGGCTCACTCTTGTAATCTCAGCACGTAGGGAGGCAGGGGCAAGAGGATTGCCTGAACCCAGGAGTTCAAGACCAGCCTGGACAATTTGGTGACACCTTGTCTCTACAATAAATTAAAAAATTAGCCAGGCATGGTGGTGCGTGCCTGTGGTTCCAGCTACTTGGAAGGCTGAGGTGGAAAGATCCTCTGACCCCAGCAGGTCGAGATTGTGGTAGCGCCTTTTTTTTTTAGTTGGAGTCTCACTCTGTCACCCAGACTGGAGTGCAGTGGCCGCTCCTGGCCACCGCAGCCTCGACCTGTTGGGCTCCGGTGATCCTTCCGCCTCAGCCTTCCAAGTAGCTGGAACTACAGGCGCGCACTGCCACGCCCGCCTAATTTTTTGATTTATTGTAGAGATAAGGTCTCGCCTGCCCAGGCGGGTCTCGAACCTGCGGGCTCAGGCAGTCCACTCACCTCAGCCTCCCAAAGGCGCAGGATTACAGGCTGAGCCACCGAGCCTGGCTTGGTTGTGGTAGCTTTGAGCGTGCCACTGCACCTCAGCCTGGAAGACAGAGTGAGACTCTGACTCAAAAAATAAAGCTTTTTTACTTTTTAGACAAATATTTATATAAACTCTGGCTAATACTAAATCTGAGTTTTACCACAGTGTGGACTTTGTAAACTTGACTTCATATTCAAATAACATAATGTTTTAAATGATTACCATTTTCTTCTTAAGATCTTCATTCTGGCCGGGCTCGGTGGCTCAGCCTGTAATCCCGCGCCTTTGGGAGGCTGAGGTGAGTGGATTGCCTGAGACCGCGGGTTCGAGACCCGCCTGGGCAGCGAGACCTCATCTCTACAATAAATCAAAAAATCAGCTGGGCATGGTAGCGCATGCCTATAATTCCGGCTACTTGGAAGGCTGAGGCGGAAGGATCGCTGGAGCCCAGCAGATCGAGGCTGCGGTGGCCGGAAGCGGCCACTGCACTCCAGTCTGGGCGACTGAGTGAGACTCCAACTCAAAAAAAAAAAAAAAAGAAAAAAAAAAAGATCTTCATTCTGAATGCAAATTATGTTTGTATAGTCAAGCTAATGCAATATGTTTGTGTAGTCAAGTTAATGCAAAGCATCACTATTGGAGTTTATTAGTAGCAAATCATTTTTAAATTCAGTTAATTTTTTCAGAATACAGATTAGCTGATCAAAATAAATATCCTTTGTTTTTTGTCAGTTAAACAGATTGATTTGGTGTCTTTCCTTTCAGGTTGGGAGTGGGTTCCTTGGGATGAATTTCCTCCATTAGACCAGCTTTTCTGGGCACTACGTTGTTTAAAGGAACAAGGCTATGATCCATTTAAAGAAGATTTGAACCATCTGGTAGGATACAAAGGAAATCATCTCCAGGTGATTAAGAAGATTCTTTGATTTTTTTTAAGACAAGACAAAAATAAAGTCTGGTTAGAAAATGAAAAATATCTACATTTCAGAGCAACTCCATTTTATCTAAAAAGTTCCCTATGGATGCCAGTTCATTTGCAGTCTACAAATATACCCACCACTCTTTCAGCCAGTACTTGAGAACATTTTTCTGAAACGTCATTGAATTGGTTTTCAGACACCGATTGTGTGGTAAATAGTAATATTATGGTTAATCTGCTTTCAGTATTTTTCTGCGATATTTACTGTGTTGTTTGTCTTCACCAGCTTATGTGGAGTAGGATGCAATGGAACTTGTCTTAGTGTTCAGTTTGAGTAGAGATCCTAATTCAGATTCTGTAATGCAGATCAAACTCAGTATGTCTGTTAAAAAATTATCATGTTTATTAAAAAAAAAGTAGTAATATATTGTGACAGTCTTTGCAACTAGAGAGAACCGGACAGGCCTTTAGGATGTATTTCCCAGGTGTCTGATTGAGAATCTAAACCTAGTAAAGTGAGGCAGCCCATCTTAGGACCAGTGTCCGTGTGATTTACCATTTATAATTACTCACTGTCTCAGAGCCAGTGTCCTGATAGGTCAAATGGGGAGATTAGACTAGAGCAGTGGTTTTAAGTATGGTCGCAGTGGGGGACGAGGTCCTTGAGACCTTTCAAGTGTATTCAAGATCAAAGCTAATTTTATAATACTAAGATGTCATCTATCTTTTTCAAGCTCATTCTTTCATGAGGGCACAGAGGAGTTTTCCAGAGATTAGCTCATGTGTGATATTGTAGCAAATCAAATGCAAAAGCAGATATGAGAATCTAGCTTTCTTCTATTGTCCCACGTTAAAGATATTTGCAAAAATGTAAAGCAATAATACTCTCACTAATGAGGTTTTGGTTTTTTCTTTTTTTTCAGAAACAAGTTATTTTTGAAAAAATCATGTTAACTTGTTGAGGTTTGGTTATTTATAAATCATTAATTTGTTGTAATTTCTCAGTTTTAATTTTTTTTTTTTTTTTTTTT